GGGCACTGAGAGAGAAGCAATTTATAATCTAGTTTAGGCAGCAGGAACCAGAGTCCTTTACAGTTCCCGTCCTCTATTGCAATCTTCCCCTCCTCTGTTCCAATAGTCCCCTTCCCCACTGCCACAGTCCCCTCCCCCACTGCAGTAGTGCCCTCCACTATTGGAAAGAGTCTCCCCCCCGCCTTGCAATAATCCTTTTGAGTAAAGTCTCCCCTTACTAAGTCCAGATTTGTTGTTCAGTTGGTCTCACCCCCCCCACCTCTCGGTGTTACCCGGCCCAGGTCCGGCTGTCTGCTCCCTTTCAAAAATAAACAACGTGAAAGGCAAGGAGCCAGGTGTGAGGTCTCGCCAAGGCTCCACCTGGTTTGCACTCCCGTCCCTGCTGTCATCTCAGGGTCCTGCTTCGGGGTGGAATCAGCACAGCTTGGTCAATGACGTCCTTGGTGTCTCAGGCTCTGGATAGTACGTGCCTTGTGGCAGGTCTGTGGCTCCATGACATTAATTCTATGAACACAACTTTACGTTCGTTTAACCGATGTCATATTGCCTATAACCAAGGCTCCAAATATTAACTAACCATGGGAAAAGAGGGAACCAGAGAAACGCATGCCAAGAAAGAAACTGGGTCCTTGTAAAATCTCTTAGAGCCCGTGCAGTTTTAGGTTCCAACATGGCTGCAGCCCTGCTCACCCAACAATAGGACCCGGGTCTCCTGAGGTCACAGACGAGGAAGTGGGTCCAACAAGGCAACCCCACCCCCTCCCACGCTTGCATCCCCCAATTCCACGGGCCGGCCCTGCACCGTCCTGGTCTCTCTCTGTCAGCAGCGCCTGATCTACTGTTGACTTGCTCACTCCACTGCTCCCGCCAGAAAGCACTTTGGGTAGATTTCCCACGTCCACCCTCCCGAGCAGGGAGGGACAGGAGTCCTGCCCCCAGCTCTTCCCCCTCCACCTCACCAGCACAGACGGTGGCTCTACCCAGGGAGACGTGGACCCGGGTGGGTCGGCACAAAGGGTTTTCAAGGCTTTTGTGTTTGCTCATGTTCTCCTGGCAATGATTTTTTAAACTATGTGCCTTTTTGCATGTTTAAGAATTGGCATCCAATATTTTCACTGCAAGCGGAGCGAGCAGCAAGGACGCGATTTCCAGCATCTAAATGGACGTTGACATTGCAAACCAAACTGTCCCTTTCAAATTTGTCTGATGGAATCTGAACACAGTAAGGATTTCATACCCAACACCATGCACTTAACAGTCCACAGAATCCCTGGTACACTCGTCGCCTGTTTCTGAGGGATGACAGGTGCCCAGGCCAGAGATCAGGGCCC